ACACCCCTAGCATACCGAACACGCAACTTTCCCCCTCCGGTTCACCGGTCCGAAAACGCGAAACACCGGAAATACTTTCCCGGATGTTTTCCCCCTTCGTCGGTATCACCTACTACCGCGATTGGGCACACCTAGCATTGTTACTTGTCATGTCATGCATCGATATGCATTTGTTTGCATTGTATTCATTGTTTCTTCCCCCTCTTCTCTCCGGTAGACTACGAGACCGACGCTGCTGCTGCCCAGTTCGACTACGGAGTTGACGACCCCTCTCTCTTGCCAGAGCAACCAGGCAAGCCCCCCCTTTGATCACCAGATATCGCCTATTCTACTCTCTATACTGCTTGCATTAGAGTAGTGTAGCCTGTTACTGCTTTTCGTTGGTCCTATTCTGATGCATAGCCTGACATTGTTGCTACATCTGTTGATACCTTACCTGCAATCCTAAATGCTTAGTATAGGATGCTAGTTTATCATCATTGGCCCTACATTCTTGTCAGTCTGCCTTGCTATACTATTGGGCCGTGATCACTCGGGAGGTGATCACGGGTATATACTATACATACATACATACTATACAGATGGTGACTAAAGTTGGGTCAGCTCGAAGAGTACCCGCGAGTGAATCACGGATTGGGGGCTGAAAGGACCTTTGTCCCGACGGCCCTCTGTGTGGATCTTTATGGCGGAGCGACAGGGCAGGTTGAGACCACCTAGGAGACAGGTGGGCCTGGCCCTGTTCGGCGTTCGCGGATATTTAACACGCTTAACGAGATCTTGGTATTTGATCTGAGTTGGCTACGAGCCTATACGCACTAACCATCTACGTGGGAGTAATTATGGGTATCCCGACGTCGTGGTATCAGCCGAAGCCCTTCAGACGTCAGCGACGGAGCGGCGCGCGCCGGATTGGAACGTAAGCCTGCTCTTGTATTAAGGGGGCTAGTTCTGCTTTCGGCCGCGTACGCAACGTGCAGGTGTGCTATGGGCGATGGGCCCAGACCCCTGTGCGCTTAGGTTTAGACCGGCGTGCTGGCCTCTCTGTTGAGCCTAGGTGGGGCTGCGACGTGTTGATCTTCCGCGGCCGGGCATGACCCAGGAAAGTGTGTCCGGCCAAATGGGATCAAGCGTGTTGGGGAATGTGGTGCACCCCTGCAGGGAAGTTAATCTATTCGAATAGCCGTGATCTTCGGTAACAGGACGACTTGGAGTTGTACCTTGACCTTATGACAACTAGAACCGGATACTTAATAAAACACACCCTTCCAAGTGCCAGATACAACCGGTGGTCGCTCTACCTCAGGGATATGAGGAGGGGATCGCCGGGTAGGATTATGCTATGAGATGCTATTTGGAGATGCTACTTGGAGGATTTCAATCTACTCTCTTCTACTTGATGCAAGACGGTGGCTGCGAGAAGCGTAGTCTTCGACAGGATTAGCTATCCCCCTCTTATTCTGGCATTCTGCAGTTCAGTCCACTGATATGGCCTCCTTACACATATACCCATGCATATGTAGTGTAGTTCCTTGCTTGCGAGTACTTTGGATGAGTACTCACGGTTGCTTTCTTTCCCCTTTTCCCCTTTCCTTTCTTTCTGGTTGTCGCAACCAGAGGCTGGAGTCCAGGAGCCAGATGCCACCGTCGACGACGACCCCTACTACACTGGAGGTACCTACTACTACGTGCTGCCCGCTGATGACGACCGGGAGTAGTTTAGGAGGATCCCAGGCAGGAGGCCTGCGCCTCTTTCGATCTGTATCCCAGTTTGTGCTAGCCTTCTTAAGGCAAACTTGTTTAACTTATGTTTGTACTTAGATATTGTTGCTTCCGCTGACTCGTCTATGATCGAGCATTTGTATTCGAGCCCTCGAGGCCCCTGGCTTGTATTATGATGCTTGTATGACTTATTTTATGTTTTAGAGTTGTGTTGTGATATCTTCCCGTGAGTCCCTGATCTTGATCGTACACATTTGCGTGCATGATTAGTGTACGATTGAATCGGGGGCGTCACAGTCATTCCAAGCTTGTGGTGGGAACTAGGACTTGTTGCAACTTAACTGCCTGCTTGTGTGGGCATGGTCTTCACTTGCATGATATCTCATGGTAAGATCTTGATACGCATGTAGCTGCTGGGATCGCGGAAAGTGTTGGCGACGGCTCATGATGGCTACAATTTGGTGCCATTTCTCGAGTACCTAGTCTCAAGCTCCGAAGTGAAAACCCTATGTCTGACTATAGTTAGTCATACCTAACAATTATGGTGTTTTTGAGTCGTTACATTGTTGAAGGCATTGCTCAGATTTTCTCGGACTTTGTCTTTTATTAGGTTGAAAGCTCCTCGGGATCTATCCATTAGTGGTTGGATCAGTCGATGGCGGCGCTTGAGCGTCGTTCCCTTCCTGGAGATGTTGTTGGCGAACATTTTTTATTGTCCTTAGAATGTCAAGAGACAGCTAGTGCGGATGGTCATCCTTGTAGTTCTTTGATCGTTGTTTTGAGTACTTCTAAGTTTTTTTTTCTTTTTCATATGCCAAGGCATAGCTTCGGTCATGTATGATTTTGCTCCTTGCCGACGCGATTCTTTGGGCGTGTTGATGTTGACTGTATGCATCATATTCATGTAGAGGTCGTGTGTATGTGTATTGTGCTCGTATCCTCTTAGTGTTTCATTTGGAGTGAATAAACTTCACTGTTTATTTATTGAAAAAAAGGCATAGGCTATGGAACTGCAGCAATCCCCACTCGTACACATGTTCAGAACTCGGGTTGAGCATGCTTACAGACTTAATTCGAGCTTGGGCTTGGAGATCTCATATTTGAAGCCCGTGTGCATCAATGGGCAGCGTTATGTCTCGCATATAGCGAGACCCAGCGTGCTCTCGCATTACGCGCTTCCCTCAATGGGCCGGCTTAGGTGCGCGCAAGACTATGGCCTCATTTTTTCACTTTTTTTGTTTCATTTTTTATTTGTTATTTAAATTTTTCATTTATACATCCTAATATTCTAAATACTATATTACAAAAACGTTTACATAAAAAATGAAAACAAATTCTAACAAATTAATTGAAAAATGATAAATATGTATAAAGAAAATGTTTCCCATGTATACGAAAAATTTATACAAAATTATAAAATGTATGTAAAAAGGTTGATCATGTATTTAAAATATTTAGCTAGCATTTGAAAAAAAACTAGTACTTGCAAAATGTTAATCAAGCATTTGCAAAATGTTATATGTGCATAGAAAAAATGTTTACCATGTAGTCAAACTTGTATTTGACAAAATGTTAATCAACCATTTGCAAATGTTAAAATGTATATAGAAAGAAAATGTTGACCAAGAATTTTAAAACAGTCTAACTAAAATATATTACAAAAAACAGTTTACATAAATATTTTAAACAAATGTATTACAAAACACCGTTTACTAAAACATTTGAAAAAATGTTAAAGAAGCATGTTAAAAATTGTTAAATGTGTATAAAGAGAACGTTTCCCATGTGCGTGAAAAAAATTGATCATGTAGTTTAAAAATATTAAACTAGCATTTGCAAAAACAACAAGTATTTAAAAAAATAAACAAGCGTTTGGGAAATGTTAAATGTGGATAGATTTTCTTTTTGACCATGTACTCCAAAAATGTCAAACTTGTATTTGAAAAGATGTTAATTGACCATTTGAAAATGTTAAAATGTGTAGACCGGAAAACTTGTGGACCATGTGTTCAAAAAATGTTAAGATTGTATTTAAAAAATGGTAAACAAGCATTTAAAAAATGTTAAATATGTGTATAGAAAAAATATTTACCATCTATTCAAAAAATGCTAAACTTGTATTTGAAATATGTTAAATATGTATAGAAAATGTTTCTCATGTATACAAAAATATATAATGTGTGTGAAAAAATTTGATCATGTATTTAAAAAAATATACAATGTTAATCAAGCATTTGGAAAAATATTTAAAAAATGTTCATCAAGAATTTGAAAAAAAAAATATGTATATAAAAATGTTGAACATGTACTAAACTAACTATAATTTATTTAAAAATGTTAGTCAACCACTTGTAATTATTTAACTGTGCATAGAAAAAATATTGAGCATGTATTAAAATGGTAAACATGTATTATAAAAAAATTCTTGATGTATATGTAAAATATAGAGCGAAACCAAAAGAAACAGAGAAAAACAATGAAACCGAAAAAGAAAGGAAAAAACCAACTGAAAAGAAAACCAGAGAAACAAGTGTAAAAAGAATGAAAAGCAGTCATATCAATAAAGTAACAAAGGAAAACAAAAAAAATCATTGAAAACCAAGAAAGAAACAAGAAATGAAGAATAAAAGAAGGGAAATGTGAAGGAAAAAAAACTCATGAAAACCATGAAAGAAATAAAAGAAAAAATGAAACAATAGCCAACAAGGCAGGCCAGTCTGGAGGCTGGCTTCAACGCTATATGACGCCCGCGGGCGGCATATAGGTTTGGCCTTGGGCTTGAGCATATTCCAGCCCTCCTTTTTTTTGCGGGATTCAGCATATTCCAGCTGATGCCTAGTCTGACTGCGAGTCCACGAGATACGACCGTTTCCCCCAAAAGACCATCCGCAATAAATCGCCAGGGACGCCGATGGCGACAAGACGAGCACGCGCCCGTCCATGGAGCCGACACCGCTGAGCGAATCAGTCGCACCCGAGCCGACGAGAGCATTCGAGCCCGGCCGACGCGCGTCCCCCCTCACCCACCAACCAACCAACCAATCCCTCCACTCAAAGCAAAGCCTCGAGGCGGAGTCCGTCCTACTCCATCCATCGCGTCACACGCCGGGACAACAGTCCGAAAAGCATAGCGCAACCACACTCTTTGACCTTTGCCCCGTGATCACACCGCACCCATCTCCCATCCACTGTGCCACCGCCCCGCCCCTCCCCGTCCCCATTTCCTCGCCCCATCGTTCTCCCGTCTCTGTTCTGTTCGTCGACCGCCTCGTGCTTTCTTCATGTCCAGGGAGCGGCGGGTGCCGCTCGTCCTGGCCCTGGAGGCGGCGGCGGTGGTGGGTGCCCTCGCGGTTGCGGAGGCGGAGCTGCAGGTCGGGTTCTACAATGCGACGTGCCCGATCGCGGAGGGCGTGGTGTTCGCGGAGATGCACGCCATCCTGCACGAGGACCCCACGCTCGCGCCCTCCCTGCTCCGGATGCACTACCACGACTGCTTCGTCCAGGGCTGCGACGGCTCCATCATGCTCAGGTCCAGGCGGGGCACGGCGGAGCGGGACGCCACCCCGAACCGGAGCATGCGCGGCTACGACGCCATCGAGAGGATCAAGGCCAAGCTCGAGATGCTCTGCCCGCTCACCGTCTCCTGCGCCGACATCATCGCCATGGCCGCCAGGGACGCCGTTTACCTGGTGAGTAGCTGAAGAGACCACGACGAGAAGTTGATTTAATTGGGCATCTTTTTCACCAGCTCGTGCTTACTTTGCAGAGCAAGGGGCCGTGGTACGGCGTGGAGACCGGGCGGCGGGACGGCAATGTGACGGTGGCCGAGTACGCGGAGAACGACCTGGCGCCGCCGGACTCCAACATCGTCGACGTCAAGACCTTCTTCAGCGTCAAGTCCCTCACCGCCAAGGACATCGTCGTCCTCTTCGGTACGCGCCTTTCCTTTCCTCCCCATCGCTTCACGCGTACGTGCGTCCGTGGACGACAGCAACAGCCCAGCACACACCGCACTGACAATGGCATCCTCCACCTCCAGGGAGCCACAGCATCGGGACCTCCCACTGCGAGGCGTTCCAGAAGCGACTCTACAACTTCACGGGCGCCATGGACCAGGACCCGTCGCTGGGCGCCCGGTACGCGAGGCAGCTGAGGAAGCTCTGCCCGCGCCGCCACGGCGGCCGGGGCAGGAGGACCAAGGTGCCCATGGACCCCGGCAGCGGCTTCACCTTCGACCTCAGTTACTACCGCCACGTGCTGGCCACGGGGGGGCTCTTCCAGTCCGACGGCAGCCTGCTCCACGACGCCGCCACCAGGGACTACGTCGAGAGGATGGCCAACGCGTCGTCGCCGGACGAGTACTACCAGGACTTCGCGGCGGCCATGGTCAAGATGGGCCGCACCGACGTGCTCCCCGACCACCTCGGTGAGGTCAGGGCGACCTGCGGCGTTTTTGTTGACTAGCCTTAGCTTCAGGGCTGCACTTGCACATATACACACAATGGTTGATTTGTATGGGGGTTTATCGGGTTCTCTGATCTTTATTTATGCTAATATTATTATTAACTGAAGATGCAAAAGAGATGCAAGGCAGTTTGCTTTTTAGCTGAGGGGATCATCACCTGTAACTTGTACAAATAGTCAGTCCACGTACTAATACTTATACTGTACATGGTCGTCGTTCATGACGAGTACTGCATGGAGCTAATTATCTGTTACATCGGGTTGTTTGACCAACCACATGTTTCTGTTTGGTCAACCACAATTCGGTCACCAAATCTGGCCACATATAACAAAATAATTTAGCTACAGATTGCGTCAGCCATCATGCAAGTTTAACTTGTGAGAGCAAACTTCTGTATGGAGACAACCAAAACTAAACACTAACCTATCCAATGACCGGTGATGCACTAAAAAAATTTGCACCAATGCACTACAATTTGCAAGCCAAAATGACTCCTGATAATAAAATCAAGTCAAATCGTTTTCCTATTCTAAATTTGCAACTTAAACATTTTCGCCGGAGTTTTTTGTAGCAATGAACAAGCCACCCTAGTAAAATAGGAAAGCTTTGGAAAGAGACAAATCCAGTGTACAATGCAGTGAATTGTTCTTTCATTTGTTCAACTTCGATTCCAGAAATTACACCTATTGTATAATGAAAAACTGTAAGTGAGAACTGAACACTCTTTGCTTTTTAGAGACTACACATGACAAGAACAAAGAACACTTTGACACATTGGTGGATACACTGTTATTTTTTACCCCATATATAGATTCCAGATGCTACTACTGCGCTTACTGCTCCAATGGACGCCAAAATTTTCAACTTCGAAACACCTTTCCTAGGCACAGGTAATTCCATCAAACTTTGTACCTGCACGGAAATTTGATAATTGAAGTGAGCATTATGAAAAATAGATCTGTTCTGACTGTCAATTGACCAACCAAAGTGATCTAAAATAGTAATGAATTTCTAGCTCATAAAAGATATAACACACGAAATGATGTTGTTAGAAAAAAAATCTTACCTCAATAGGTTGTTGCCAATTTTTCTTTATCCCAGAAACATGCCCTTTTCCCACAACTGCCACCACTGAAGAATGTTCCCTTGCTACCTTCAATAATTTGGAAGACATATACCTACAACAAAATTCAAGAAGTTAAAGCTCAACCATTATTATAAGATTGAGAATAGCAACACAAAATGCTTTATAAAAACAGAGTAATTTTGAAGGATCTCACATATCACGTTCATGGAGAAGTGTCTCCATCAGACTAGGAAATGCCTTACTCATCTCTTGAATGACAAGTGTTAGCATGTCGACATCATCCATGTCCTTTAACTGAATAAACAAGCATTGGCATTGCTATGTAAATACAGTAAAGTAATTATTTCTGGTTCATTTGATCTAAAAGCAAATAAGCATAAGTGCTCGCTGTAGCAAATGTATTGCCCAAGACAACATACCATTTTATTAAGATCTTCAGGGCTCGGTAAAAATAAGGACTGGAAAACAATGTAGTACAGAAATTTAGCCCTGTGCCACAATGACATTTTCCCCCAAGTTCTCCTTAGAGTGATCTTCAAAAGAAAAAAGAAAAACATAGAATGGCATCAGTTCAGTGCTTATGAAAATTAATTGGCGACCTATCTCCTAGTACCAAGATTTCAATGGAGTAAGGACCAATATGACATGCTGAATGTAAATAATATTATGCCAACAATAGCAGCAGTCAAGAGGTACAAGAATTAACATAAGATAACCCCGGGTTATGCTCTAACTTTAGGGCCCGTTCAGTGTCCCTCCGCTCCACGGCTCCGCTCCCGGAGCGGACGGAGCTGCAGTTAAAAATCCTGGAGCGAGGATTTTAAGGAGCTGACGGATTGCCGAACGGGTCCTTAATCACTTAAAACGGATCCTACTACAGCACAACACCATGACAACTAGATGCATATAATCTTTTGGGTCCAATGTCCATAACCAACCTTCATCAGTTTATGGCACATCGCGTTAGAAGATTGAAATTAAAAGTTTAAGAACAAGCAAGCAGTATTAACCACCATTCAATCAATCCAAGAAGACAGATGAGATGTGTATTTTTTTTTCTTCTAAGAATAAAATCTGTATCAGTAATATGAGTGGAGAAGTTAATGGCACATGAATCAGCAATGTATGTTTAATCCATTTGAATTGTTGGAATAAATTGTCTGTCGTCCTATTAGATGCATAGAGAATATAGCAACAATAAAAGTTGATCAAATTTATCCATGTGGGAACAAATTGGAATAATCAGTGAACTACTTATCCGTGTAGATCATTTCATGTAATTTGTTGCATCTAGTACCCTTCTGAATGATAAACTCAACCACTTAAGTTCTGTACCTGGACAGGGCGATCTCCAAGGATAACTTTGCCACCATAAGTCATTGCTTCCTCAAATGCCACTCGAAATTCAGCTCCAGGTAACACATCAAGCTGGCTAGCAACCTTCAGTGCCAAAAGCAACATCATATCGGCTACCATGAACACTACTTAAATTAGTACTGAATGCACAACAAATTCAGTGCATACCTTTGCAAGAAACCAGCTATAGAGAATCCCAAAGGTGTTCATCTTTTTCTTCTTCCACATGTCAATCATTTCGTTCATAGTAGGAACCTATGGGCAAAATCACATCGAATGATGAACGAGAAGAAATAATGATACTCTATAATAGAACATGCCAAACTGGAGATGATATCTTGTACAATCTATATGATCTAATTTCGATGATACAGATAATAAATGTATATTATAAGTTAAATACATGGCACTTAGATGAAGGATCTGTAAAAACTATAAACCAAGAGAACCATTGTTCATGCATGAACAAGCACAACTATCCAACATTACAATTATATATATTATCCCAGCGAACAAATATGTTTTATTAGAAGTGCTTGATTGGTGTCCATGAGAATATGCAATGCCATATCAACAGTGTCAAGCCCATTCGGTCAATTAACTTAAGTAGGTCAAATTATGAACAACTTCGGTTTTTACCACAATTAACTCAAGTAGGTCAAATTATGAACAACTTGTGTTTTTACCAACAAATTCTAAACAAGTATCTTCTGGAGCAAACTTCAGTCGTATTTTCTTATCCAACTTTATACTCCCTCTGTTCCTAAATATAAGACGTTTTGGCAGTTCAATTTAAACTGCCAAAATGTCTTATATTTAGAAACGGAGGTAGTATTAGAGATATCCAACATCCAACAGAGAGTTCTTCATTAAGATTAATTTTGTGAACCCCAAAGTCTTATTAAGTGGCTTTCTTCACCATTTGAGGGGATAACAGATAAAGATTGAAGCACAACAGACTCAAAATTCTTATAGCACTTCCTGGTAATTTGATTCACACAAGTACAGTAGATTCAATGTAATGAACCAACGATCATTATAGGATAATATAAGCATTTTTTCCTGCTTTACACATGTTGACTGTTTCATACCTGAAGGTTTTGTGGTGTCAGAATAGAAACCCTGCTGGAACACAGTTCCAAGAAAACAGCCTACAATTCCAAAAAAATTGTTCCAAATAAATTAGTTGAAAATCTCCAATATCAATTAGAAAATAAAACACTCCAAAACTGGCAGCCAACCTGCCAAATGATCCACCAATTGTAGAAACTACTGATGATAAGTAAAGAGAGGAAGAAACCTGAGGTTTCAGAAAGTTGATGACCGCTTTGACTTGATCACATGATTCCTACAATAAAATCAGCAGTCAAGTTATCATTCGAAATTACAAATGTCCTGATGACTGATGTGGCCTTTTTTAGCACATGACGCACAATCAAAGCAAAACCAGTGGGGTAGCAGTACTAACGCCCTTGCTGTAGCCCGGACAGAACTAGTACTAAGCCCAAAAACAATGCAACTTGCTTGCGGGGCCAATGCAGGCAGACGTCCCTACCTTTTGTGCTTGGACTCTAAATCTTAGATCAATGGAACTTTCTTCGCTTTTCAAGAGTAAAATTATCCCGAACTGAAACTAATGTACACGAGTAGTGGTGTTTTAACGCTCCAACAAGGGATTAGAACAGAAGGAAACGTGCAAGGGTCCTGCAATTGACGCTCGAAAATCGAAATCCGTGACTGGAGGACAGGGCAGGCTCACCTGCGAGACATGGGCAGTGCCGACGACATAGACGCGGCAGGTCTCGCCTTCCCCGGCCGCCACGGCCTCGGCCGAAGTCTGGCACTCGAGGCACACCACCCCTCTGGCGAGCTCCTCGGGCAGTTCCCTGGGCATCTCATCACCAGCGTCCTCTCCCCCCGCTTCCGCCTCGGCGTCCGCGAACCCCGGGTCGTCCACGCTAGTCTCCCCGTTGAACTCGGCGTAGGCGTAGGCGTCGGCATCGGAGTAGGGCGTGGCCGGATCCATCAGCAGGCTGAGCGGCGCGAGGCGGCAGGACGCGAAGCTCTGAAGAGTCGGGGTTAGGGCTCGGCGGGCGCGGAGCGGCGGGGCGCGAGGCGGTTGCGGGGTTCGGAGGAGGAAGGGGGCGCGGTGGAGGAGGAGGCGAGGCGGGCGGATCATGCGCCGGTGGGCGTCAGTTTGGGGTGGGATTGCTCGCCGTGCCGGTGGGCGTCAGTTTGGGATGGGACGGGACGGCCTGTGACGTGGCTTCCGTCGGTGCAGCGGCTGGGATCTCTCTGAGAGACGTGGGAGGCGCGATCTCGGCCGTTCGAACCACCGACGTGGCCGCGCCGCGCTGCCTCGCTTTTATTCGTTGCTTGCTTGATCTGTCGTCCCCGCGCGCGGTTGCATATGCATCATCGTCATGCTCTGTCGATGGCCTCGGGGAGAACGGCTCTTGTGGTTCGGATCACACGGGGTCGACTAGTTCGGGCATCAGCATGGGCATCTTCAACGCGGACCCTGGAACCGGTTGCATATGTCTTGGTCAGGTTTTA